AAGGATTGTGATTGGCTTGTTTTAGCGTGCTTTATCAGAGAACAGTGCACGGGTGACGCCACTTTTGTTCTTTTGGAAAGTAAAGTTTGGTTTGAAAATTCAGCCAAATGCGTGGGGAAATTATTAGATTCTTTATCATAAAACAAATAAAGAAGCCTCAACTGTGCTCTGTTCNTGTTGTAAAGCACTTAGGAAGCGGTAGAGCACTCAAGAAGTGGGGAAAAACACTCGACTTCGTCTCGTGTTTTCCCCTACACTTCTTTCGTGCTCTGCCGCTTCCTGCGCGCTTTACAACAGAACAGAACACAGTCGAGGCTTCTTTATTTGTTAAATATTGCAATTTTTTGCCATCATGAAAATTACAATTTTCGAGAAAAGAAGAATAGCCAAATTATGAAAGAAAGGTGAAATTTGAATTAAAAGACTGACAAAGGAGGAATTGACCACTAAACTACAACTTTGAATGTGATTGGTTGATTTAAACTACAATTTTGAATGTGATAGCTCTGTGATACCGGTGATGGCGGGTTACTTTTTACCAGCAGCACAGTGTTATGTAGCAACAGCACCGTCAAGTTTAATTCATTTGTTCCCAAAACGATATAAATTTGTTTTGAAAACCACTCGTTGACTAGGGGCACAGTAAATGGTCTTACTGTTAGTGCAATTATCACCAAGAACGTCAATAAATGTCACTCGATACTGATCAAAGAAGACCCTTAAACGCTCAGATCCAGTTCATGACCTTGCTGGTCAGGCAACGCCCTGGTCTTAGAAAGTCTTCCTCGAGAATGCATTGTATAAAAGAATCCATGCATATTACCTCTCATTCCTTTTCCAGTAATAGCAGTTTTGCATTCCAAACATCGCTTTAATCGAGGCGCACATTCTGCAAAGTTAACAGATTGACACTAAAAGTCATTTTGATTCACAAAGAGAAAGAAAACGAGGAGCAGTTATTTACGACATGTTGTAAACAACAACAACAATAGCATTGACAACTCACCTAGACACACTACAGTGTGGCCGCAGGGTTTAAATGCAACGACAGCCTTATTCTCCTCGCATATCTGACATTGTGGTTTTTGTTCATTACAGGACAGCAGATTTTCACTTTCTATAATTTCTTTTGCTTGATCCATATGTTCCTCGTTGCCATCAGCCTCTGTTTCCAGACCTTGACCTAAGCTCTGGTCATTTTCTGCGACTTCGTTATCCACAGCCATTGCGACATCTTCATCGGTGCTGTTGTTTAGTACTTCTGTGTCCGAAAGTTCTTCTTGCACTTGATTAGTCACTTCCAGGACGATATTTTCCTTTATATAAAAACAAATGAAGTTTGAAAATATTTATTTGCCCCTGATTATTTTTCAAACTACCCTATTTGTAGTAATAGATGTCCAACAGTAGCAATTACATTAGACATGACGATAGATGTGAATGCAGCCATAACACTACTGGAAAAAAAGACCTGAAAAACTTTTCAGGCTTTGAACGGGATTTGAAACCACGACGTTTGCGACCCCGGTGTAAGGCTCTCCCAACTGAGCTATCAAAGCCACATGAGAGCGGTCGTGTGTGGGTTGGCTCTTTATGTTCAATGGACGTAATACTCTGCTCAAGTATGTAAATTCCATAGTAATAGATCAGAAAGATAAGTTGTTTTCTTAACGTCAATGATCCGCCCAGCATCAACATTTGAGACGCAGATTAAATTCAGACCGAAACTGGACTGGCTTGTTTCCTCTTTGAACTGCAAAGCTATATTATATATGACAAGGAAACTCCTAAAAAACTTACGAACGTGTCTTATTTCATGAATTAACCTGCTATTACATGTCACACTACACTGCCGTGTCATCTTTTTTTCGGTCTTACTTGGTACGAGGGCTCTCCATCCATAGAATTTTCCACGCTATTAACTTCCTCGTCCATTGCCACATTTACAGCACTTCCATCTTCTCCCTCCTCCTGCTTTTCCTGCTCTTCTGTAGCCTGAACAGGTTGATCTTGGACAGTGATGTCGCCGCAGTCCTCATTTACATCCTCTTGCCTATTATAAGCTTCACTTGTACTTGGCCTGTTACTTTCCAAATCTCTTTGGGTCCCTTCTGCCTTTTGAGCTAAGCTACTACTGTTCACTATTTGTCTGTTTGAGGATTGGTTTGCAGCCCCAAAGCTTGGAACTTTCCTGATCTGCGAACTCCTGATATTAAAATAGATAAATCAATCAATCAATCAATCAATAAACAAATAAATAAATAAATAAACAAATAAATAAACAAATAAATAAATAAATAAATAAAAATAGAAATATATTGACTTGACTTAGCGGACATAAAAGCATTTTACTAATGCATAGTGATAACGATACTCGAAAATGGGCAAATGACTTCACAAAGACACACTGTTGTTTGTAGTACCCGCCAGATGCCGCAATCTCGCGAATGAGATGTTCAACTTCTGATCCTTGACATCTATGAAGCGGGGTTTCGCCTCTCCCATTCACCTTGAACACATCAGCTCCGTAACTTAACAAGCAGCGTGAAACAGCTGCGTAGGAACGACTGTCTCCGTGAACTCGTAACAGGAACTGAAGACTAGGCTGAAGCAGGAAGAGAAATTGACGTGATTAAAACATTGCTATATAATATTTCCGGTCAATAATAGATACATGCATTGCTGGTAAGTACATAGATATTGAAACATCGACATTGTAAACTCGTAATACACTAGCTAAGCACCGCGATCATTTAGTATTCGACTTTAGGCGGAGTCAATACAAATTTCGCCAAATCGCGAAATTGTGTCTCGAAAATACTCTAAACAGTATTTTAAAAACCTGAAACAAATGTGTAAACTACCAATAAAACCCGAATAAACATAATGGTCACTGATTAAACTTACGGGTGTACAATTAAAGTTCAGTACCGTACATTTTTCCACACAGAGCATGTTACCAAAATTACCAGTTAAACTATATTTTCCAGCTATGTTCGAGTATGAAAGTGAAGAATGATCATCGCAGTAAATTTTCCAATTAAAGCAATAGGAAAGAAGAAGCCTGAAAAAAAAAATCAGGGCTTCAACGGGATTCGAACCCGTGACCTCCGCGATACCGGTGCGATGCTCTACCAGCTGA